AGTGGGAGGGCAAGGGGGGAAGGGGGGGCGCCACAGTCAGGGGCGCGGCACACGCAGGACCTGGAGGCGAGAGAGGGGCGACCGCTGGGCAGGGTGGAGAGACCCGGGGAGGTCAGACCTTGACCTGAGGGCAGCAGCTCTGGGAGGGCCATTCTGGAGCTGACATGGGGGCCCAGCTGGGTTGAAAAGCTGGGGGTGGAGAGAAGTGGGGGTGGAGAGGCCGAGGGGTGATGGTGGGATGGGGGCCAGGAGAGGGATTGGACAGTGAACCCTCACCTTTCTTCTACCTGGTACTGAAACCCCCAAAGCTGTACCTGGCTCCCCAGGCCCCTATCCCAATACTCGGCTCCCTAGGTCCCCATCCCTATACCCAGCTCCCCAGGTCCCCATCCCTATACCCAGCTCCCCAGGTCCCCATCCCTATACCCAGCTCCCCAGGTCCCCATCCCTATACCCAGCTCCCCAGGTCCCCATCCCTATACCCAGCTCCCCAGGTCCCCATCCCTATACCCAGCTCCCCAGGTCCCCATCCCTATACCCAGCTCCCCAGGTCCCCATCCCTATACCCAGCTCCCCAGGTCCCCATCCCTATACCCAGCTCCCCAGGTCCCCATCCCTATACCCAGCTCCCCAGGTCCCCATCCCTATACCCAGCTCCCCAGGTCCCCATCCCTATACCCAGCTCCCCAGGTCCCCATCCCTATACCCAGCTCCCCAGGTCCCCATCCCTATACCCAGCTCCCCAGGTCCCCATCCCTATACCCAGCTCCCCAGGTCCCCATCCCTATACCCAGCTCCCCAGGTCCCCATCCCTATACCCAGCTCCCCAGGTCCCCATCCCTATACCCAGCTCCCCAGGTCCCCATCCCTATACCCAGCTCCCCAGGTCCCCATCCCTATACCCAGCTCCCCAGGTCCCCATCCCTATACCCAGCTCCCCAGGTCCCCATCCCTATACCCAGCTCCCCAGGTCCCCATCCCTATACCCAGCTCCCCAGGTCCCCATCCCTATACCCAGCTCCCCAGGTCCCCATCCCTATACCCAGCTCCCCAGGTCCCCATCCCTATACCCAGCTCCCCAGGTCCCCATCCCTATACCCAGCTCCCCAGGTCCCCATCCCTATACCCAGCTCCCCAGGTCCCCATCCCTATACCCAGCTCCCCAGGTCCCCATCCCTATACCCAGCTCCCCAGGTCCCCATCCCTATACCCGGCTCCCAGGGACCCCAGGCCTAAGAGCAGCACTTACCTCAGTGGGACCAGGACCGGGTGTGCTCTCTCTCCCTCTTTCACCCTGCCCCACCTTCACCCGCCAGGGCTGGCCCAGAAAGCAGGGCTCTCCTGCCCCCTGCTGGCTGTTCTGTGAAAGGCTAAGTTTTCCTAAGCCAAAGACTGGCTTTTATATCCTGCCAGGGAGACCATGACCACCGCCCACCTCGTGTTCACACGAGGTCAGGAGTTCGGGGTTCATGTCTCAGCCCTCCACACACTCCGTGGGAAATGGGCGTGTGTTAGGGCTGGCCGGGGATCTACTTGGATGGCTCTGGTCCCACCCTGCTGCCCAGGAGAGGCCACACAAACATACACCTGTGCCCACTCACACCCAGCCTCCAGGACTTGACCTCCAACCTGTGTCAGGAGAGGCGGTCGGGCAACCAGACTGTAGCTCTATGTGCCTCCCTGCAGCAGAGGCCAGGTCCCGGCTCGCTTGGTACCCAGGGCCAGCACAGGGCTTGGCATTCAGTGTACTGCGTGAGTGAGTAGATGCTAGGGTAGGTGGATGGACTGACAGACGGACGGGTGGATGGATGGACAGATGGATGGACGGATGGATGGATGGATGGATGGATGGATGGATGGATGGATGGATGGATGGACGGATGGATGGATGGAAGGATGGATGGATGGATGGGTGGGTGGATGGATGGATGAATGGATGGATAATGAGATGGGTGATGGATGATGGGTGGATGGGTGATGGATAGATGGGCGGACGGATGGTGGGTGGATTGATGACAAAGGACCACAGAGCGTGCCTCAGCCCCCTAAGCCTACCCAGAGCCAGGACCGGATGTGGGGGATGGGTGCTTCGAAGGCCAGGAGCCCCCACCTTAGTGGGTTGGGGCCCGTGTGCTGACACCACAGCCCTTGCCCCATCTCCCTGTGCAGGTGGGGACCGAGTTCACCACCATCCTGTACAACTTCATGTGCAACAGCAGCTGTGTGGGGGGCATGAACCGCCGGCCCATCCTCATCATCATCACCCTGGAGACCCGGGAGTGAGTCTGCGCACATGGGGTGGGGGTCAGGGACTCAGGCCAGTGCTGCCAGGGGCGTGGTGTGCAGACAGGGAGGCCAAGGGCAAGACTTGGTGTGGCCCTGAAGCGGGGGGAGGAGGTTTGGAAAGGGGCCCTGCAGAGGGTGCTGCAGGGAGGGTGGGACCTCCCCCAGCTGGATGATGGGTGGATGGGTGATGGATAGATGGGCAGACAGATGGTGGGTGGGTTGATGACAAAGGACCACAGAGCATACCTCAGGGGCCGCTGGAGCAGAGCTGGGCCTTGGGCAGGACCCAGTGTCCCAGAGCAGCTGGTCACTCAGTCCTGACCCCTTGGCCAGTCCTAGTCCGAGGGGGCAGGGAGGGCGGGCAGGGCTGGGGGCCTGAAGCTCACGGTTCCGGCTGTGGTCCCCGACAGTGGCCAGGTGCTGGGCCGCCGGTCCTTCGAGGGCCGCATCTGTGCCTGTCCTGGCCGAGACCGCAAAGCCGACGAGGACCACTACCGCGAGCAGCAGGCCCTGAACGAGAGTGCCGCCAAGAACGGGGCCACCAGCAAGCGCGGTGAGCGGAGCTCCGGCTGGGGTGTGGGCAGGAGGGCACCCCCAGTGTTAGTGTGGCCACCCCCAGGGCGGAGCCAGGCCTGCCTCGGGACTTAGGTGAAATGCTGGCAGGGTGTGTCGCGAGCCTGTGCCCAGGGCGGAGAGCCCTCCCCGCCCACGTCGCCTCCCCTGGGTCCAGCTCCATCCGGCAAGGGCAACTCACTGGCTCACACGGCCCGGCGGGTGTCCCGCTGGCTTTGTCT